TGTCGAGCTCTCTCGCAAATATGACTAACAACTCCCAGCTTAATGACTGGGGCCAACCCTCTGCTGCTATAAAACCAGCACCGGCCCTTGTGATAGGCTGCGATGTTTACACAACGGAGGGTTTGGAGGACACAACTCACAAGGCACTGCTTTGGTGTCGCCCTAAAGAACATCCTCTTAGAATTATTAATAAATCAAAGATACGTTCATTGAGCCAATTGGAGAGACACTTTAACAAGGCCGATATCATAAATTGCACATAACTCAAAAAATCTATGCAGTATAATGTGATAGATTAATGGATTGGAGCCAAGGTCCTCATAGACTGTAAACAGGAGTACAACGACAAGGCATCTGAACACTCGGTTTGGCGTAAAAATGGAATGACCTCTTCATGATACTTATTCTGTTCCAAACCTAGTGAGCTTCTTCTGTAGGCATCATGAGCTGCATTTCCATTACAGATTTGCACAAAACATTTGCGATATTTTATAAACCTCAATAAAATAACTATTGCAAAATGCCAGCGTTTCTCTTAACAAATGGTATGCAACTAAAACGGAAATTTTTCCTCTCGCAATAAGTTATGATGATGGATGTTGGAAGGTTTACTTATATAGCTGCCACCGCACTAGTCATTATTTTTAATCGAAGGAGATGTAGGTGTGTATCTTTAGCGAAACAGTGCAGAGAGCTGCTTCTGGGACGCTTCTGAAACGTGCCACGGTATAAACACAAGCATTGACTAGAGTGGTCGCAACAGAGCGGTAATGCGCTGCAGATGTGTGTAGTGTAAATAAAGGGTTATCTAAGCATTAATGTCATGGAAAGCCCCTTATAATTGAGAGTAGCCAGCCACGTATGAGGTGTTTATTGGAGGTTATAGTGCATTAAAGAATGATCATGTGACTTTTACGTATGCCAGGTGACCTGTAAAATTTCCATTGCAGTTTTGTGAAATAATTATTTTTGAATTGCCTGAAAACCACCTCATGTGAGCGTTAATATATTTTTGCGATATATGGGAGTTTTTGTGAAATTGATGTGTTTCCATTTGGTGTATTTTCAATGCGCAGTTTCAATTTGCGCAATTTGAAGGGTAATGAAAACGCAGCTATAGGCTGCTGTTCCAAAAGGGCATGTCTACACTTGGCAGAGAAACAAACACTGGCGCGATTGTTCTGTTTGTGTGGTTCATTTGAATAAGTGTGAATGCTGAACTCTAAACCTTGGTTCGCACCAAATATGAGGACCGAGACCAACTTTTTAAGGGGTCTCAGTTTGCTCCCAAATGAACTCTGGTGTGGTTTGGCTGATATATGAACACAACATGGACCAAAGACATCTAAACAAACCAAAAACAGGATGTAATATCAGAAGATGTGACTTTAAAAAGGACAAAATTCTCTAGCATACCTGGTTCTTCTCCTCATAATAACTATGTGACGCAAACGCATCACATGGCCTTCTGTAACGTCCACATCTAGAAAACAGACACTCCCACCTCTGTAAAAAAACCTTAATTAACTTTACACAAGAAGTGGCTGCTTATGAGACAAATACAGGTATCTTACCTGACACTGGTGTTAAAATGCCAAGTTTTAACAGTTTCTGCAATTTGGCTCTCCTTATTAATTTATATTATTTTATTTTATTATCAACATAACGAGAAAGCATTGGGATAATTCAGTATCTTTCACCCTGGCCTCATATTCCTTTAGCCAAGTTTTGTTTTAATGAGAAACGAATAAGAGCCAGTGAAACTAATTGAGTGTACCTTAAAATCATTAAATCATATAAAAATCCTTGGATCTGTAACTGTCTCACCTTTTTCACCCCTCATGAAACAAACAAAACAAAAACATACAAACCAAAAGGCCAAGTATAAGCAGCTAGGCAGCTGTAATGGCAGGTCATTTGCTCCCCAGGAGAATTTAAGTAAGTCTTTACTCTGAGCAGTAAATCGGCCTGTCTAAATCCCACCATGAAAAGAGGTAACAATAACTTCAAATATGTTTTTCTTCTCCCAAAGGCAAACATCATAATTAAAGACGATGGCAGTAAAATGACAGGCCCCACTGACTTATGTAGTTTCATAATGTTACTGTTGGAGGAAAGAGGGAGGAATGTGGATTTCAAGTCCTTTATTAGAACACTCTCGCTCTCCCTTGTCAGCAGTGTAAAGACGGAGTGAACTCCCTCAGCTTGAAACACATTAGCTACCGCATCTGTGGGGAACAAGGGCCTTTTAATAGACCCTCCGGTTGTAAAGTAACTCATGCGGAACGAGTTTTTAATGTTTGATATGTATGTAATACAATATTAGTTCACTTACGATGCACCAGGAGTGGCTCTTTCTGTGTGAATCTGCATGAAATCGGTGTCTGGGCTAAAGCAGTAAATCACTCTAGTGCTGTTTGTCAAGGCATTACTGGAATAGAAGTATAAAGTGATTTTTTTTAAACAATTTTTTTAGGGGTGACTGAAACACATAGAATGTAATACATAAATGGTAAATAATCTAATCTATGTGAATAAAACAACAAAACTGAAGCTGGGTAAATTAGTGAGGAAACTATTTTTAGACAGACAGACAGACAGACATACATACAGTCTATATATATATATAAAATGTTAATATAATGATCTCTGGACATTCATCAGTTGCAGAAAACTGCCATTCCGAAACAATTTTGGGGGCATTTGATCGCAAGACCAAACAGTCAATAAATACAAACTCCGAGGCAGAAAATTGCAGAGCCACCATTTCAATCACTTGCAAAAAAGGGGAAAATATGTGTAACAGTTCACAAATCAGTTTTTATTAATTTAAACACAACCAAATAATAAATGTCAAAAACATCTGTACACATCTTTTTGCAGACACAACAAACTGTTTCACAATGAGGCCCACACATTGTAAATTATTTCCAGTTTGCATTATGATTGCATCATTTATTTAAAAAAAAAAAAAAAGTGTGTTACATCTAGAAAACATCTACTGTTACCGTGATCTAGCAGCAAAATGTGATTCCCCGGTATGGGGGGGTGGCGGGCGATGCAATAAGAGGGGTGAAATTGTAAATGTGGTGAGAAAAACTAGGCCAGAGAAGACGACCTCACCTGCAGGAGCCGAACATCATCATGTGCCGGGAGGGAAAATTAAAAACAGATTGAGTTAGCTGGGGAAATTCACAGTCAATAGCACATGTTCGCAACTCCATTGTGAGTGTGTGTGTGTGTAGGTGTGAGTGAGTAGTGGCTTTCTTTCTTAAAGTCTAAGAGCTAGAGTTTCCAGTCCACAGTTACCTTAGAACTACCAATATACATCATGAAAATCCAACTACAGCGATTTCCAAGTGGACACAATCAAAATAAAAAGACTACTTCATACAAAATTACACTTGCTGTACAAGACTTTCTGCTTTAGCGCCGTTACAAAAGATAATAAAACCTATTTAAGCTTAAATGCCCGTCGCGGACGCTGAGGTTCAATGTCCAGCTTGAGCAGGAGATAGTACTGGGGATACAGACATTTACACTCAGTTTGAAGCTTGACATTCAGAAGATTATTATTCTTATTATGCTGCTTATGTTCTTCCTTAGAGTTTGAGCTACCATTGGGATTTAATTCACTTTGAAATCCTGACTGAAAGAGTCACATTTCATCGTGGAGAAAGTCTCTACATGGACTCTGCAAGTTCTCACCACCTTTGAGGAGCAGAAGCTTACAAAGGAGGAAACAAAACATCACTGAAGAAAAATACGAAATTATTGACACTTGACATCCATGCTTTTGGTCATGACAAAACAATTATCACCAAAAAAAATCCTTATCTACATTTATTTATTGAATGAAACCTCGAACACGTCAACACTTTCAGACTTTGCACGAGCTACTGCGCCAACGCCTTTACGTACGTACTTCCATGAAACGGCTTTCCACAGCATGTACCTTAATCAATATAGGAAGGAATAGTCCAGTGATTACAAATTTACACACACAAAAAAAAGTCTGTACACGATTGTCTCTGCAATGTAAATAACGTTTCGTTAAATTTTTTTCTTTAAATTATTTCGAAAATCCATTTTTTCCTCCATCAACTACTTAGTGTAGTGGAATCAAAGTACTTTGTAATGCAAAAAGGCACAAGTCTCTTTTTCAGGGCCGGTGCCGGTGCCGCTCTACAAAGTCTCTCGAAGATTATAAATAAGAAGTGTAGGACATCCAGGGCGAAATGAGGAAAACGAAGGGGTTGTGCCCCACTGTCTTTGTACCATCGGTTGAGACATAAAGAGACAAAGCATTACACCAAGTCGCAGTGGGATCGGAGTCCTGCTGAGTTCCATACCATTGGGATTGAATTCGCTATGAAATCCTGACTGAAAGAGAGTAAGTCTCCACATGGACTCACAAGTTCTCACCACCTTTGAGGAGCAGAAGCTTACAAAGGAGGAAACAAAACATCACTGAAGAAAAATACGAAATTATTGACACTTGACATCCATGCTTTTGGTCATGACAAAACAATTATCACCAAAAAAATCCTTATCTACATTTATTTATTGAATGAAACCTCGAACACGTCAACACTTTCAGGCTTTGCACGAGCTACTGCGCCAACGCCTTTACGTACGTACTTCCATGAAACGGCTTTCCACAGCATGTACCTTAATCAATATATAGGAAGGAATAGTCCAGTGATTACAAATTTACACACACACACAAAAAAATGTATGTACACGATTGTCTCTGCAATGTAAATAATGTTTCGTAAATTTTTTTTTCCTTAAATTACTTAGAAAATCCTTTTTTTTTCTCCTTAAACTTCTTGGTGTAGTGGAATCAAAGTACGTTGTAATGCGAAAAGGCACAAGTTTCTTTTTTTGGGGCCAGTGCCGCTCCACAAAGTCTCTCGAAGTTTATAAATAAGAAGCGTAGGACATCCAGGGCAACAGGTCTGGCGAAACGAGGAAAGCGAAGGGGTTGTCCCCCACTGTCTTTGTACCATCGGTTGAGACATAAAGAGACAAAGCATTACACCAAGTCGCAGTGGGATCGGAGTCCTGCTGAGTTCCAAAGGCATCGGTAGCTCAGTTTTTGTCACAGGTGTGAACCCTTGCCGAGTCCCCTGCGTACACAGGGCTGTAAAACATTTTGATGGCTTCGGAAAAAAAGCCAATTCACAGTAACCAGGGCCAGCAGCTGCAGAGCCATAAATTCACTCTCCTCCACTTCGAAAAAGGTTTAGGGTTAAGACGAATTGCGGCCATGTGTCAACACGCTGAGCGTGTTGCTCTCTCTCTACGTTATGTGTGTGAACGATTTTGTTTTTGGTCTGGTGCTGTCGGAACGCAGAGGATCGGGCGACGCAGCAGGCTGACGGTGCTGGGTATGGGTCTGCAGGGCCCCCGCACGGCCTGGGACAGAGCGACAGGGCCGTCACAGTGCTACAAGTACTCCAGGTCCAGAGCATGATGTAGAGCCATGAGGTCAGAGTGACTAGAGATCCTCCAGAAAGGCATGTTGTGCTAGAAAGACACAGGGAGAGAGAGTGTTTGGGGGTGAAAGAGAAAATAAAGAAACACAAAACCTGCAATGAACACTTCACTTAGAACAACAATCACGCCCGTGAGTGCCGTCTGAACAGCCTCGATGGCCCGTAACATCACACGAGACTTGAGAAGAGGAAGGCCTTACAAACTACAACCACTGAACCAATGAGATCACTCAGTAAATATCATTTAAGAAATTAATAATAAAAAAATATCACATTTTGACAGTTAGCTCAATGACATGAAAATAAAGGAAATAAATCTAGTTGAAAATAAAGGACGTATATCTACTTAAAAACAAAACAAATGTACTCGTTGTGTTCATGTTGGTTTAAAAAGAAAAACAAAACACTTGCAAAAAAAAAAAGTTTAGACCATTTTCAATTTAATGACAAAATGTCATGTTAAAACCATATTCAATTAAAACCACATTTTTTCCTACACTTTGAATATACATGTACACGTGTATCTTAATCTTTTTTAATAATATCAAAAAGGTTTTTGAAAATGTTTTTCAAGATAAAAAGCCTTTCTAATAATAATAAATAACATTAATTATTCATTCATAACATATGATTTCATTTTTGGGGAGTCAGCTCACATGATATTGTATAACCTGAACTTGGTCACGAAAAGATTTTAAGAAACTTATTAAAGTTTTAAAGTTTAAACTTTAATAAGTTTCTTAAAATCGTTTCATAACTTCAGGTTATTAACTTATGGACCTTGACACATAGTCATGAGGTTCTTCAGGGGTCCTCTTTACTTCTTGTTCGTTTTTTTCTTTCTGCAGGATGATTTGGCGGGTAGATGTTGTTCAAATATTAACAAGCAGTGAGGGAATTTAGAGAAATTAGTTTTTTTTCCATTTAATTTGAATAGTTGTAAAAAATTGTAAGAATATATTTTAATATTGTTGGAAAAATATAATAAAATATTTAAAATATATAAAACAACGAAGGCCCCATTAGAAAACACAGCAAAATGGTTTACTACTAGTACCTCAGGAAACATAAAGGAGGGAAATAACTATTAAATGCACTATCCGAACACAACATTGCAAATGAGGCATTGTTCCTGGGAGAGGCCACAAGGAAATATGATTCTGCCAGAATGAAAGAAGCTTGTCAGCCCAGAGTCGTCCACACACAAACCATTACTGAGTCTTATCAAAGGTATAGCCTCTCTCAGGCATATGTTCCGCTTAGAGAAGCTTGCACTGACCCTTAAAAGACTCTTTTCTTTTGTTTTGTAAATTGTCTTTGCTTTTAACTTTAAAAGCCAGAGATGGTATCTCCTTTTGCCTCGGTCGAGTTATTAACTAGAGGGGAATTGTTTCTGGGATACGATGGAAAAAACAAAAGTATACAAAGGTTTAACTTTGCTTTGGTGGTTTCATACAAAGTCACCCTTGACACTAGTGTTGTATCTGACAAAACTGTGGCATTTTATATCAAGCCGGGTTTCTCAAGTGCCAAGGACTTATTAAAATCCCCTGCGCTACGTCTAAACACTTTGTTTCAGAGGAAATGGGGACTGACATGTAAAGCTTAAACTTCCTACATTCACATTCCTTGCATGATTAACTGACAACATGGAACGAATCACTTGGCACAATATAATAATCACACCAACATGTTTTCGTCTGTTTGGAACCTGCCTGAACAACAAGCAGCTTTGATAATTAATTACACAATGAATAGTTTCAGGTTTTGTGGCTTACAGCTTTGGAAAACTTGGCGGATGTTCTGAATACACAGGTGGCAGGTAACATAAATCTTCTGGTTTGAACAACAAGAGACGGGAAAACAACACTCCTAATGTTCTTCTGAATATCCTCGACTTATCTAACAATGATTTAAGCGTCTTAAACGCATGTTATATTTATGAACCGGCCCCTCTAACATGCCTGAGAGGACTTGTCTAGCATTACACACGGTGAAACGGCACAGTCACATGCAGGGACGTGTAATTATGTCATCTTGCCTCCTTTTACATTCGAGCTGTCAGGGGAATTGAGCTGATTACAATGTGAGAATCATTCTCTCACTGGTCCAATGACATTTTCAGGGAATGGACTGAAGAAATTGAAGGTTTAAAGGAAAAGTGCTATAGAGTTCTAGGCATCTTCATACCTTTTTCGACCCTGTCTCCTCCTCCACACCGTCCCCCACCACCACATAAACAACTTTCCTTCCGAACCTCTGGATTACTCTCTCGAAGCAGCTCTCTTTTCCTGGGGAGAAAAGAAACTGGTTTAGGTTGCTGCAGAAAGCAAGGAAGCCACATCCAAGATCCAGCCCCGGTGAGGGGCTCTTTAAATACGCAATAAGTTACACAAAATTACGCAGTATAAACACTTTGCCTTGGCTTGGAGATACGATAAGATCGATGCTCAGATAAAAGTAGTCTGAAAAGCATTAAGTGTGCCTTATTCCTCCCACAACGTGGGACAAATGGAGTTTAACAAGCTAAATCAACCTCACATGCAAATGCCGCAGCGAGGGAGGCGCTGAGCTTCGCGCGAACGAAAGTATGAAAGTACAGGTCGGTGTTTATTTTGCATTCAAAAAAGCGGAGAGGCCGAGAAGAAGAAAAAAATGTCAAAGTGGAATGACATAAATTTGCCGAAGTGGTTTCATATGTAGACCTGAAAAGGAGAGGCCCAGTTCAGGCTGAGCTCCAAGAAAATAATCCCAGCCTGATTAGACCTCTTCCTGAACATCAACCCTCTCGTGTGTCCGCCACTTCTGCAACCTAACCCAATCACACGCCATGTGTCTCACGCTGTTTACACGTAATATTGTCATAATTACAGCCACACTCCAATAGAGTCAATTCATACACACAGGTAGTTAATACTGAGCTCACACTTACCTATTTTCGTGGCGCTATAAATATTTTCAATTGGAAATACTACTCCCAGTCCGTAGAGGAGGACCTTGGCGAGGGCAGGTATGAGCTGTGTTGTGGTCACTAAGATGTTCACACAGTTTGATCTGTAATTGAAAGGCAAATTACGTCAAGTTAAATCGCACAAGGGAGGACAAGGCTAACCAGGAGCGTCATTTGTCATCCAGAACGCTCCATGATTAATGGATCTTTAATTGTTGTCACTTAAAATGGTGTTTTTCAAAAACAATACAGTGCTCTTTGAGGTATTGGGGCATAAAGCACACCGTTATTCATGCCTCTCGCTGATTTATGTGTATCAGAGATGGGCTCTATATAATTCGCTCGTGCTAAGGCCTACCTTGAGTGGATTAATGTTAGTGCTTTCAGTGCCAGTGTTAACCAGGAGTCGGTCAGGGCTTCAATTTCTGCTCGCAATTGCAACCAGGCTTCCCTTTTGGCTGGGCCAAGCAGACCTGAAATGAACAGAAACATTGTTTGAGTTGGACCGTCCCACGAATACTTTGAGGAATTTCGAAATTTACCCAGACCAAGTGGTTTCTGCATAAGGGATTATTTGAGAAACTTATGAGTGCTTTTGTTGACACACCACCCCTCTTCCCCAGCAATTTTAGCAAAGCAGTTTATTGGGGGATTACCTCCGACGTTATTTTTATAGGTGGTGTAAATTTCTTTTACTCGTCTGTAGCGGAAGGCCAGCTTTCTCATCCAGTCCACACCTCCTCGCACGCCGGTGGCCAGACACAGGTTGGCACTAGTGGCAGCAGCGTGGAATCCGTCTGTGCTAAAATTATATGTACTAAACAGAGAGGAGGAAAAAAGAGAGAATGGCTTTTGAGCTTGACTTCAGTTAGAGTGAACTGTGAAAGGGCTAGTATGGTGCTAGCTTTACCTTAGATCCTGCCCGTTGTCGTCCGATGACACGTCGTCAATATGGACCTGATCACACTCCTGGAAACAAGCAAAAAAAAAAAAGGGCGGCCATGGTGAGCTGGTTGGAATTAAAATATACCAATTTGATTAATGGTTTTCATGTGCAAAATTGGTTGCGATTTGGGAGCTTGAATCCATGAAGTGAATAATGTCAACAACTGTGGAATTCCCAATTGAAGGCTAAGCTCTCTCCCGAAAGCTCAAATCAACCTTCAACCACTTCCAGCCTCTAACCCCCCACCTGCTAAATCTTAATAAAAATAAACACCATCATCAGGGGACCGGGGATCCGACCCATTTGGCCACTACCACTAGGGGGATCTCTTGATATACACATCTGCTGGTACGTAAAGTTGGTATCGGTAGACTACGGGAAGGTAGAAACGTCCTCTCCGTGTTAGGTCTGCTAGACCAGAGTCCGGTGCCTGAACACAGAGATAGCTGTGGGATAATGAGAGCGTCTGTGCCCCCTTTAGGGTCTCCACTTCTTGGAGAGGCTGAATGATTCTACAGCTCAGAGCTGATTCAGCCAGTGTACACAGTAACACAAACCAGACTTTCTGGTAAATGTAACTTACTAGAAAAATTGAACCTGATGCTAACCGCCAATGAAATTATGCCCTCTGATTGCTGCCGAGCCACACACCAACACAGCCTGAGGCCAGCTTTTTGGAGAAAGCAGACTGAAAATCTGTTATTAGTTTTCCATTTATAGTCATTCTCTCCCCCCTCCCCTTGCAAGAGCTCGAGATGTTAGTGAGCAGGGCATGAGCATTCAAAAAAAAAAAAAAATTGTTTTTTTGGAAAGACAGGGTTGGCAGCTTGTGTGTTCCAAAAATCATCTGCAAGAAAATAAATAAACAGATAAAAATAATAATAAAATAAAAGAATAATAATATAAAAAATAAACTTAAAATGTTATTTAAACCACAAATTAGATATATATTAAATATATTATTACAAAAATTATTAAATAAAATATATATTAAATATAAACAAGAAAATCAAAACACTATATATAAATATATAGAGTGAAGTATAATGTACAATTAAAAAAAAAATGTATACTTATGAATTAAACCTCACTATATAAATGTATAAATAGTATCTATCTATCTATATCTATAATAGATTAAATACAGTCATATTAATTATAATTATAATAAATTAAACCTCTGTGTAAACTTAATGTTTAAAAAATATATGGAGTTTAATTTCTAATTATAAATATACAAAATATACACATGTACAAACTTTATATATATGTAATTTATAATTATGAATTAAACCTCATCCAATGAAGTAAAAAGAAAAATTGGTTGACACTGCCAGTTCTTCTGTTAAACCTCCATTCATATTTCAAGTTTAATCTAACAATTTACATGGTAGTTGAATTTTAGAAGGGGGTATTTCCTTTTAGCCATTCTTTCGAATTTCCTTTCCAGAACTTTAAGCCTTTTAATTAAGTTTCAACAGGCTGCTAAGACACAAAAATACAAAAAGGACTTCCTTGTTTTAACTCAATCCGAACCTGGCCAAATGCTGACGTTATTGCATTCCTGTCTAATGCTACAGCAGGGTAGGGGTAAGCGCTTTAGACCGTAAACCTTTTTTATTTTACTGGTTCCCCTCTGAACAAATTTTTCATCTCTCTGGATTTGTGGGGAGAGGGAGGGGAGAGCGACGTGAAGAGAAACTCAAACCAGCTGTTCTTTAACAGAATTAAAATCTTGACCCCCAACCCCTACTCTAATGCAGCCATTCTCTCGCCAAGCCTCTCCCAGCAAGCCTCGAGATCCAAAGAGGAAAAGACTTTGACCCGGTGCCCTGCTCCTCCTCTCCAGGACTCCACAGGCTCAGATAAGGGGGAGGGGGGCTGGAGGCAGGGGCGTTTGTGAGGGGGGAGTCGGGGTGACCTCACATGGAGAACTCGAGTGTTGCGGGGCCAAAAGATGGACTGCCAATTGCAGCCGTGGCTCAGGAACACCCCAAGCTATTTGTGTAATCTGTTTCTAGATAGACAGCGATGGATCTGTAATACTTCTGAAGTACCAATTTGTTTTCCAGAGAGGACCTTTGGACAGGCCAAAATCATTACAGAAAGCTGGGGCCTCCGTCGCAACGTTTAATCTTGAGTATTAACGGTTATGATGACAAATGCGCCATTTCAGATAAATAAAATATATTGAAATATTTCTAACCGAAGTATGATTTCGAAAAAAATCCAAACTATAAAAACTGTCATGCAAAAACACATTCCAGAAGTACCACCCCCGTTCCGAGTGCGTGCAGCTGCCTAGGTCTCTTAACACGTTACCATCTCCATTTGACGGAATCACCGCATGTTTACATTGCCTTTTAATTCGCTGGTTATTATGACACACAATTAACAGTCGTGTTGTGGGCTTCCAGACCTCCGGGATGAAAGTGAGGGCAGAGAAAGAATGCACAACCTCTAGCAATTACTGCACACAGCTGGAGCCCACATAAACCACTTGACTGCCTCTCTGGTAGCTGCACCCGGACCCTAATGGAGCTGCCCGGTCCTAATGTCTTACAGTAACTCATGAGACTCATTAGGGCAGCTTCTTAAGCACTCGTTAACACCGTTAAGCCTAATGACCGAGGATGGGCCAGCTTTAAGTGGTTAAATACAGCATGTGGTTGATCTTCAAGGGTGGCTGACGGTATCTTCAAGGTGTTATGTTGAAAGGGTGAGGTAATATAAATATTGTATAAACTACAGCATGACTGAGCTGGTGGTAAAAAATCAATTGAGATAATGGGGTCAATGATAAATAAAAGAGTTCAATGTAGTTTAAAACAGTTTTTTTTAATATGATTTTGTATATATTATATTTATATTCACACACACACACCTCTAAAAAAATAATAACATGCAATAATCTCATATCTCATTGTTTTAATGATTTGAGATTTTTTCATAATAATTTCTTTTTCAAATATTAATAAGTAGTGACACAGTTTTCCCATAAAAACAATTAAAAAGATTATGCAACAATCTTATTCTTTTTTTAAGGATTTGTGAATTTGTGATACAACCATGATATTATGCACCAAAAAATAAAAAATGTAAAAATATATTTGTATTTACATTTTTAATTATATATTTATATATTTGTTATGTGCTTATGAATAAATGAATATATAGGAAAAACTGAGATGGCAATGAGGTTGTCTTTTCTTTTATTGTACTTCTCCTTGTTCACCAAGCAGTGGTTCTTACAAACCTACAATCGCTGCTAACTAACACCAGATGTTCCTACTGTAGGCTGTGTAAAGATTCTCCTCTGCAATCCGTACATAATTACGTCTTACACAAACACGTTGTCTCTGTTTAATTCATCAATTTTTTGATCCCTTCTCATTCGTTAAACTATCCGAAGGTCCCGGTAAAAGAAATAAATGTGTAAATGTGTGGGAAAAACTGTGGGAAACTGCAAGAGAAGCCTAAAAAACTACAAAATAAACACCTTGAAATCAGCTCTTCTCTATTTCCATTCACTCGCTCTCATTTTCCTTTCAGTTCCTCCTCTGACTATCCAGGCCTAGAAAAACCTTTTCATTTATGCGAGCTATCAGAGCCTCCTTTGTTCGGCTGGCATCTGTCATTAAGCAATCAGGCCGGACTGGCTGATTCTTCCTGTTGGCCAGAGGAAGGGCTTTGCTGCCGACTGCACAGAAGCGACTGCTGCAGAATGTCAAAAAAGAAAATGATTATTTAAAACTACAAACCTCACTTTCCCTCTCGTCCCGAGCTGGAAACATCCGTATTGCATTACTCTCCCTGGCTACCACCGTTTCTCTTTTTTCCCCCCTCTCTTTCTCTCTCAGCTCAGGAGATTTCATCCCTGGCCGTGCCTTTGGGCCAGACCCTAAACTCTGCTAAAGCTTAGTCTGGAGAAGGAACTGGCTCCCCACACAGGTGAGTGTCCCAGGTAACAAAGGCACAGTGTGAGTGATTACAGCAATCATCACAACATTCCTCCAAGCCTACAAGCTAAGTCCATGTGAAAAAGCCCAATCCATGGTTCGCAGGTTCTCAATGCTGCCACTCCATGGGCAGGGTCTGTCATCCCCCCGTCTGTGAGGGGGGTTCATGACCCCAGTGTTTTCCCCCCCCTTCACTTTCCCACCACAGTTGGCCCACGTGAAGGGTGAGAGAGGTAGAGGGGAAAGAGGGAGGGTGCAGCTTACCTGTGGGTCGGACACAGGATATGGAGAACAAAGAGAGTTCTTCAGACCCACTTCATTCCAATCCACAGTTTGTGCTTGAACAGTCATGGAATTCAAACAGCCGAGTAAAACAAAGCTCTCTGGAAGCGTGACCTTCCTAAAACCGAGGCTTTTCGCACTCTGGCATATGAAGATGGAAAAGAGCAGAGGCTGGATTCATGAAAATCTTCTTAAGAAAGAAATGTATTGCGTTACGATACGATATGATACGATACTAAATATTCTTAACTCTACTCATAAAGAATAAGAAAAGCAGTTAAGAAGAATTTCATTATTAAGTATATTTCATGAATCCGGCCCCAGATCTTCAAGTTAAGTTAACTCAAGTAAAGTGAGTATGATGCAGAGAAGATAACGGAAAATATGGTTCGAATTTGTTCAAACACGGTCTCAACACACACATCCAAGGGCCAAATGTTCCACTACATTTCTACCTTATAGGTGTGACGCCAGTTAAAACAAAAGTCCGTCCAAATTGGAAGAAAAGCAAACACCTGCTCTTATTAACGGTTTGACGATTATCTCAGCAAACCACATAATACATTTTTCACATATTGTCTAAATTTTGGATCTTAATTTAAAACACAATGCTGCTTCAATCCAAAAAACTGCATAAGGATGAGCAAACCATCATTTGTCACCACATTGTTTGTAACACTACATTTTCCACAAACGCACAACCCTTATTGCTTTTAGGCCCCATTACTGTGGGCTGCTGGGTAAGAGAGGGGCCGATGCTGAGAGAAGACTTTAAAAGCTCT